AATGTAATTACAAATCAGAATAATATGAATTGGGTACGAGTTAGTAAATTGGGGGTGGATGCTGAATAAATTAATCAAAAACTTTGACAGGTGTTGTAATAATAAAAATAATGGGACTAAAAGGCGGTGCGTGCTCACGATTCCACACGTGGGATTCGAGCTCAGGACCTTTGGTCTCGAGCATAAATGCTTATTCCAAGCAAAACCAGGTTGTAGTTTCATATTTTTGAAGTTATTTGAATGATCTCATCGACTTCCGAATTGTCCGGACGTTCCACGCACCGAAGTTAATTAATACTCCGGTTGTAAGAAAGGGGCTCGACCTTGTGGTTCCCAAAGACTCTTGATTTCCATAAAAATACTTTATAATTCTTCTATATGAAGACTTCTAAACTCTCAGATTAAAGTTAATATCGTTCAAGTGTTTTTATCTGGTTAGTGTTTTATACCATGTTTTCTTTTATAAATTGGGGTCGTTAACTCTACACCCCACATTTCTCCTTTGCTTGGGGTTGGGACGACCATCAGTCATAAGTTAGCTCCAAGTTTAGTTATATATGCTTTTTTAAAACGTTTAATTTATCTCACCGATAAGACATCAAAAAAGAATTAAATTACGGTGTCACATTATTTTTCCTCATGTTGCCAATGCCTTTTTCAAGTTAAAAACAAACATTAAATTCATAGATTACACGAACTCCAAATGTATGAAGTATTCTAAATACATTTTACATATTAAACGGCTTAAATTAAATTGAAGAGAAAGGTTACAGCTTAGTTTCTAAATTTGTGCGTGCTGACAATTTTAAAGATTATAGAGGCCTGTTATCGGACGCCGGCTCAGTGGTCTAGAGGTTAAGCGCTCGCGCACGAGACTGATAAGTTCGCGAGGCGGTTCGTGGATGCGCACTGCTGAGGAGTTCTATAATAGGATGAAACGGCCATCCAGTGCTTTCGGGTTTTTCATGGTGGTCTGGCTTCAATTGACTCATGATCTCAACCATTGAAATTACTATAATATCCACAAAACCCTTCTGATAACACCTATCTGTTAAATGATTCATGAAGGTAACGAAATTGAGATAATAAAGAAAAGTGAACATTTAGATAGGTATTGTGTCAGGTTGTCTTCCAACTAGCTTACTGATATACACGCTCCTCATATTTGAACCCAACTTCATGTTTGAATAAGAACACAAAGAATGAATGGGAAACTTTATTAGACAACTGAATCGATATGTTATACAAACTCAGCCGCAGATAACTGGGGCAAATCTCGACTAGTAGCTTTCATTCATCAGCATCTGTTACTTGACATTTAGTCTTGATCTAGGATGTGTTCACAGACAAGTGATATGTCTGTATTAACCCAGCCTATCAACAAGTAAGCCAAATATAGTTTCAGTGAAAAAACAATAATTATTATATGCTTATTTCAATTAGATTTAAGTATCAACTGTGAAAATCACAGGATTTAACTATTGTCTATTTATTGACATTAAAGTCGAAGGATCCAGTGTTTAAATGTGAATAACTTTTGCCCAATACCATCTAAACAAAGTTTGCCTAAGTTGGTTCACTACTAAACTAGACCTTTATGTTCAGCAGCAAAAAATAGTTTGAAATATCTTAAAAATTGTATTGAGAAAAAGAGTTACCTTCAAAGATTTTATAATGAAATATGATAAGGTATACCAGAGAGGAGCTAATATTAAGCATACTGACTAAAGTATTCAATTATTGCTTAATGTCAGTGAGGTCACGATCAACTGTCGGAAGCTCCATTTAACAGTGTATTATGTTTTCATTTTGTATAGTGAGATTAACCATTTATCTAAAATATGAAGAAGTTCCAAGATGATAACGTTTAAACAACCATCAATAATCAAATCTTGATGAGTGACTACTTTTCAACTGTAAACTAACATTTAACATCATGAATGATGTCATACTGTTAAATGTTATTACACGTTCTTCAAAGTCTTTTACTCATTATTCTATGTATACATTCAAGTATACAGAATTTTGATTAGGACTAAAGTTGTATACATATGTGGTGTATGCTATTTATGTCAACGGACATAAGTAGTATGTAACGCTAATCACAAGTGGAATGCCTGATAGCAGAAGGTTGGTTTGATCGAATCGATTGTTATGGCAATGAACGAACAATGAAATTTGACACAACTAACTGAGAATTTTTTGATTGAGATCATGGACCGATTGATGTTAGACCACCTTTGGAAACCTGGAAGCACTGGATGGCCGTTTCGTCCTATTGTGGGACTCCTCAGCAGTGCGCATCCACGATCCCGCTCACGGGGTTCGAACCCAGGGCCTTCGGTCTCGCGCGTGAACGCTTAACCTACTGGACCACTGAGCCAGCATTCAATGGTGATAACTGAGGATTTGCTAATGAAGTATTGAATGTATTGTTTTCACATTTGATGAAAGAACACTGTGGTTTTATGCTGATAAATATTTGGTTGTCCCCACCTGTGTTTTTGTTCATTACACAATCAACTAAACTAAAAGATAAGAATAGGGTGAATTGAATTTCGTTTTTATAAAAGAATCTATAGAATTTACTAGAGCTAATAATGTGGTTTGAATTCACTCATTAATTAACCAACATTCTTTATATAAATATAATTTGGATTTCTATTTCATCGGTTCCTATGTATATTTACTATTATCTTAGTAAATCTAAAAATCACTTTTCTATACTTGTGATTTAATGTTGAAAGAAATGTTCTACTTTTAATGAAGTTTGTAACCGATTCAACGAGGTACCATTTTGAGCGTTGGTATATATATTTTTTGGAAAACTGATATCGCATATAAATAGATCTTTATGTTAAAAGCATTAAAGAAAAGCAAGGTGTGTGTGTATGTATCTTTTTCTCGAAAATCCGATTATGAAACATACTTATTAAATCATTAGAGAAGTAAGAAGGGCTAATTCAATGAATAAAATGTGTTTCTTCCAACGTAATCATGAAATCATCTCGTCAAGGATCAAAGTTGCTTAGGTAATGGAATTACGTACATAGTTAGTGCGAATATATATTATCGTGATACTAAATAAATTATAACATAGTCGAAATTTTATACTATCAACCATTAGTTTCGATTATCCGATTGTTTTAATCTTTTGCTTATGTTATTTCTGATTGTTGTCGGTTGCTTTCATAACTAAATGTAAGTGTATTCTATGTATTCACTGAGTTATCAGTTCATTTTTTTCTTTTTTATATAATTTCTCACTCTCCTCTACACATTCACTCAGAAACATAGAGTACCTTTAGGCTAAACAAAAGCCTACCAAATGCTGAACATTACAAAAAATATGATTAGCTTATAGTAAAAATAAATACAATAAATTATTATCATACCACTATAAAATTGGTACGATTTTTATTTAGAGCCATCATATGAGTAGATGTAGTTCATTACAGGGACAACCAATTACAAACAAGGTCATCAGAACAAACTGATTTATGAATCGTGAAATGGAGCGTTGATGACGTTATCTAGATAAACAATAAAAACTAGTCAACCAAACCCTATAACTTAGAGAATTGAAAAACACACTATACCTGTAAATCTTTCTCATGAACTCAAGATGGCTACGGATGGCTACTGCTTCAGACGTTTGACCAGTTTTGGCAAAAAATTACTGACCTTATAATTAGTTGAAAAAGATTGGTTTATACTGGCACTATAACCGGTTTGTATTAAATGGGCCAATATTGAGCAGTTCACTTTCTTTATCAAACCATTGTTTAGCCACTCTGGAAGGTGTTCACGAGCACAAAAATGTAAATTCCTAGAATTTCGACCAATATAACTCGCTCCACAGGAGCAGTCGAACTGATAAATACAAAATGAGGTGGTCATTCTAGGTAATTCATCTTTTAGCCTCAGTGTAACCATTGGGCGCGTAGAAAATACTAATCGCAGTTCTCCGGCGTTAAAAGATTTTTGTATTATCCTACGTAATCTCTGAGTTAATATTTCACTAGCCGCATCCCCTGTGAATTGTAGACACATGAACAGGGATTTCTTCTTCACTGTTCGTATTTCGCCTTCTTGACCATATATTTAATTATAAACTTTCTAGGGTAGCCGTTCTCCCTGAGAGTATTATGCAAGGTGTTAAGCTCTTGTTCAACTATATCAGCAGAACGTATAGTGCGTATACGGTAACTAAGGGTTTTGATCAAGTTTCGTTTGTAATGTAGAGGTACAAAGCTCAGGAAATTCGTATACTGCCCAGTCCATGTATTTTTTCTGTTTAATTTCCTTTTTAACGATCCATCCGCTCTCTTAGTCAAGAGAACATCCAAAAAGGCTATTCAGCCATCACTCTCATCTTCAGATGTAAACTGAATGGCTGGATGCACTTCATTAAATCGCCTAAGAACCTCTTGCGGCGACGTGTTATCTTTACAAAGGATGAACGTGTCATCCATCTATCTACAGTAAAATGTGAAGTTTTGAATAATCTTTTTAAGTGGACCATTTTCTAGTTTGGCTAGAAAAATATCAGCTAGTATAGGGCCTAGTTGTGAACCCATTGCAACACCATTTGTTTGTCTATATATTTCACCGTTGAACTTTAAATTCACATTCATGGTGCATTTTAGTAATAACTTTTTCACGACATTAATAGGAACAGTAGTTTCAATTTCATTTTCAATCAGCGGTTCACCTATATATTCTACAGTCTCTATGAGTGGGACGTTTGTGAATAACGATGTTACATCCAATGACGTCATCTTTAGTCCCAACGTATTTGCATTTCTGATCTTATCAACAAATTGGGACACATCATCAACACTATATTTTACAAGCTTTTCACGCAGAGGTTTCAATACACTTACCAACCATTTAGAAAATGGCAACTCTGAGATGCAGGTACACCCAGCTGACGAGTCCCAAATAGAACAAAACGCGCATCCTGGATCCCACTGCTATCCACTAACCATAATTGCTTACAAAAAATAATTAGTGCATTTATTTCTTGAATACTATAATGAGACATTAAATATTACTGTTCACACATCATGATAAGGAGCTAATTGAAAAGAAATTTTTCGCCATTCAAGTTGTATTTTTAAAGTTAAAATAGGGATACTTTATATATATCAGAAAAGTGGCATCTGATTGCTTGTTAAACAGGTTACGACTCACTGGAACAACAGGATATATTTTGAAAAAGGGCTTGGTCCATCACATTAAGATAATGAAAATCCGAATGGCTTTTCTATATGAAAGTTTTCAAAAAGGAAAATACATTAGAAAATGAGATTATTCACATTAATATTACAGAAATGATTGTTCAATTCACCAGTAATTAAGAGATATTTGTAAAAATCAACTAGAAAATCAACGGATATATATCAAAGGCATTATGATTTTAAAAAGTGCGATAGAGAAAGTATGTGCATCATAGCATTGATTGTTTTGTTTTTTTACATTATGGCTATGAAAAAAACAACTGAATATCAAATGCAAGGGAAACCAAAAAGAAAGGAAAGCCTAGAGACGGGTTGTTCAATAAAACTAACTAAAAGTTTATTTATAAATTAGGTGTGGTTAGAGTGTTAATTGTGTACAACAAGGCCATCACCATTCAGTAACGACAAGAGTACATGTTTGAACATCTATAAAACAAAAATAAGGAAATAGCATACAAACTTAAAGTTAGATTGAATAAGTAATTGTTTTATAAACGGTTTACATCAGTTTTAATCACATATATCAGTGGTAAGTGATTATTGACAATAAATAACAAATATCAAATTTGAATAACCGTAGTTATTTATAAAATTAGTTTATTTTCCGTTAATATTGTATTTTATACTGATGATGATGACGAAGCTGGATTATTATCTTCACTCTCTGCAAGTATTCTTCGTATATGTAATGGTTTATTTGAATAGATTGTATAACTAGTCGGTTTCATATTATTTTTTTGTGAATTTTGTTGATTTAAGGGATTATTAAGAGATCCTTGTTGATTGTTGTTACCATTATCATCATCATTATATTCTGTAATATCATCCGGCAATGTGAAACCACCACTTGCGCCAATACAGGTAGTATGCTCTGGTTTGAGTAGCAGTTCTGTTAGTACAGCAATATCAGCATTCATTTTTTCCTTTGGCCATTCACCATAACATGCGATTAGTTCACGTCGAACTTTTGCAGCAGCACCAGACTTGCCATACTCTATCAATTGTTCCTAAAAGATGTGTACATTTTTTAAAATTGGTAAGTCGCCAAATTATTTAAAACAAAGGATGAAAAACGTACCTAACTTTTTAAAAAAAATGCAATTTATCGGTAAAAGCAGATAAAAAACAATTTTTTAAAGTGTTAGTTACTGCTAATTCGCACTAACAGAAGATAACGTTTTTCTATTTCCCCGTATTACGTATAGAAATTTGTAGTAAGAATGTCCAATTACCAACTAAGGCAATGCGTGATTATAGTTGATGTACGAGTAGTTTGGAAGGAAGCTTTTAGTGATTAAACCGAATCATGACATAATTGCATGAAATCATTACAACAACTATCAGTTAAAGACAATGGGTAATATGGATTAGAATTGTTCGCAATTGCACAGGTGAATTTACTATTTACCTTTCCTTAGATCCTAAGATCCGTTATTACAAAATATTTTCTTATTCAACGAAATCATATTTTTACCGCGAATTATATTCTCTATGCCTAATTTTTTTACTACCACTAATACTGTTAAAACGTATACAACTCTGGAGTACAGCTGTGTAGACGTGATGTGGCAACTTGAACTAATGGAAACGTTGCGTATGACTGACTAACTGATTTTAGTGACTAGTTCAGTTATCTGAAGCGTAGTGTACTACTTACTTTCGGATTGCATGGCAAGAGTTAATGTTTGTAATGACTCGATTACCTTGGTAATTCCTTAAGACGTAAATGCTTACCTGAGGATCTTTATACTTAGCATACTATGAACAAACCAACGAATAACTATCAAATGTAATACTTTTAACATCTCATTATCTGGATGGAACTTATCTCCAGTAGTTAAGAAGCAATGGATAATATTTGTGACTTTCAAAGTAGATGGTACCAAATAAACTGTTAACTCTTTCAGAGGATCAAAAACCATTAGATGGATTCATAATGAGAAATAACTCAATACCACAGTGAACATAAACATACTGATTCATTTTTATATTAGTTGTTTAAGTCTTCCCATTTTTGTTTAGGACTGCAATTGATTAGTCTCACATTGACATATTTGCATCCTGTGCGTCAGCTGGGTGTGTCTGAATCGCATCGCACAACCCAGTGGCTGTCTGGACTCATTAGCTAAATGTATAGCGAGATGATATTTGAAGCGAACAGTAGTGGGTTCGAGTCCCAGAATGAAAGTCAACTCTGGGATGCAGGTACATCCAGATGACGAGTCCCAAATAGAACGAAATGCACATCCCGTATTCCACTGATAGCCACCATCTATCTCTGCTTATAAACATATACAATGTTTTTGCTTAAAATCATTAGTTTTCTCTAAGTATTGAAGTATTGTTTATCAAAGCCTGCTTTCGAATTTTGCCAAATGAAACAAGATATGAGGAGCGTTCGAGGTTATTGCTTCACTTGTTACTGACCATTTCTACCAATGCAATTGGCAGGGTTAGTAGTGAAGTTTTAATTAAATAATGGATGACGATGAATCAGTAAAAAAACAGAATGATACAAAAATATCTATTTTAGCATTGAACAAAAAATAAGTGTGAGAGTATTTCAACTTACCAAAAATCCACTATTCGGACAAGCGCATGGTCTTGCACCAACAACTGCTCTAACGAGCTTTGGTAGAGGCATATTTGTTATGGTCATCAGATAGGCCAAAGTTATTGTCACGCTACGAGAGACGCCACAAGCGCTTTTTAAGTAATATGGGAACAGAGATAGAGAGTTATTATACATAATTATTATAATTTTGATCAAATAAGAGATTGAAATTTACTATACCATCACCCTTATCTTTACTCTTTTGTTTGGTTTCTTGCTGGTAGTCTTTTACTTAGCAAATAATGGATTGTGATTACTTGAACATACAAATAATTGTTTATTCAATCACAAGGTATGTATCGAAACCTGTGAAGGGTAAAGAAGTTACCTAGACAGGTTTGGTTTGTAATTCGGAGAAATTAAATTTAACTTGACTTAGTTATCAAGTACTCAGATTTGAGCAGCATTATGTGTGGCTGTCAAAACCAAAGTTAAGTGGTTGGAGTTGAGACCACGCATTTACGAGTTGAAAACTGACTGTTACAAACACTAAGTCGCGGTGCTAATAATTTTTATATCTGACTATTCCCAGTAAACTAATAAATTGAATCAAAAGTCAAACTTTCTGTTGGTGAACTACGAGTCTAGACGTATACTTTATCATGTGGATTTAATTAGTGGATCGTTGAATACATGACCTGTCTGATAGGTCGACCTATAACGTAATCTGATGAACTCCAGCACAAAAATTACTAATACTAACCTCAATAAAGAATGTCAGATGTTTATTTCGTGACACTCTTTGGCTTATTATACAGCAGTACCATAGACTTTTTGTCCGAGACTCCTGATATGACCGAGATTGTGGAGTCTTGTCTTCTTGAAATGATCTCATAAACCCATTCTTTTATAGTCCTTGGTATGAAAGTCCCATTCTTAACCATTATGTATGCGGTGCTGTTTTAAAGAAAGTAGTTAGATGAAATGAGGATACCTGGAGCTTAAACCAGGCTGGTAAACACGAAGACCCCACCTGGAAGAGTTGGATAAAATCGATTACAAACCAATGGAAAATATTGTCTCCTAAATCTCAACGGAAAGAAGGGAGTAAGGACCTACTTTGGTCAACAGCTAACATGAGAGTGTGTCTATCGAAGTGAAAAACTAGTGAGGAACGAACCAGTTTCTAGGCAAGTTATCAGTCCACGAAAAAGTGCTAATAAGGACTGAGTGTGTGTAGGGCACTTTCAAAATATAGGACTATGTTGCTTGTGACTTTGCGACGTGTTTCGCGTATGAGCATTGGGTTTCTGCAAGCTCTTGAGGAACACTACTCATGGTGAATCATATATTTGACGATATTTGTAGATTCCCAGCTCAGAAACTGTTATGTTTGAAGAGATTAAAAGTTCACCTAATCTGAAAACGGAACGAAGACTCAGTGACACAATGACCAAATAAACCAACTGTACCGATGTGTCTCAGCCCCGCTAACTAGAGAGAGGAGTCCAGGTGCACAAGAGGGAAATGTATTCCACAAGCAGCCAGAAGCAAGAACGACAAGCACAACTCAAGCATATATATATATATATATATATATATATATATATATATATATATATATATATATATATATATCAGTCAGTCAGCTTCAACGTACGACCAGGCACATATATGCATCGGTCCAAGTTGCCATACCTCATTAACACAACAAGACGAACACCTGATTCGTAAAAGTAGTTAATTCAGAGGTGGTGATATATAAAAGAATGATTGGATATAAGAATATAGTACAGGAGGAAAGAATTAGTTCGTAGAAAGAAAGATATAAAGCGATTTTAATCTCTTTGTTTAAGGGAAGACAGAGAGTGTATACACCGACGCCATTGTGATCGATTCTCAGCTATGTCACCAACAGTCTCCAACCATTGGTCACAATAGTCGCGTTGACCCCAACAAAGCAGTCTGCATCTATCAACATTGCTAGGACTAAAGTTAGTGACTCCAAAGACTGATGTCACGTTTTGGTTTGGCCAACCCTAACTTTCTTCCAACCATCACCAACACTAGTCAGCAGCATTGCGCGTCGTGGTAATCGGTAGTCAGGCATACGTAACACGTGCCCCAACCATCTCAGTCGACGAAGATTCACAACCTCATCAACTGATTTACCATCATTCCCTAATACCCTGTGTCTAACCTCACTATTACTTACCCGTTGATCCCAGCAGACGCCAGCAATATTTCTAAGGCATCTGTGGTCAAATACTAGTAGCTTACGAGTATCTTATACTCTTAATGGCCATGTTTCGCTGCCGTAAACTAAATATATATAAAGCATATAAATGTCCTTGGGAAACGTTACAAAACAGCATATTAAAAGAAACAACAAATCAATGACATTTGAGGTTCTCGCAAGTGGGAAATACGACATGAAGGTGAAAATGGGCGCTTTTGGTGAGAAGACAGGAAATTTAAATTTCCAGAACAAAATTACAAAAATAAGACATTTACCAAGTAAGCTCTGAGGATCGTGCATCCCCAACAGAAATCAGGTAGCCACAGTGTGGTAACGAGTTGGAATTAGCAGCTGCATATGGTTACTAACGGAGACTGTTCCAACTCATCTGAGACACCGGTAGCAAAACGCCAGGTGTCCATGAAACAATTGACAGTTAACGGGACACTAATTAGTAACCGAAAAAGGTGTCATGACCGCTAGGCAGTGAACTTCAAAGGATAGTCTGATTGGAATATAGCCCTAGTGACGTTCATAACTGTCCGATGGCTTGCGATCCACCCGACAAAAAGGACTTCAGTACGATATAACACGATGGCGACAAAATTCACCAGGCCTAGAAGGTCCACCATCGGCTCCTTTCAAGGATAGTGGTCAATCAATGGTCACGGAACCGACAAGATTATTTGAAAAGACACGACAGTGTTTTTAGTCATGTTATGGTTTTTTAACATATTTACGAAAGTAGAACCGGCTCACTTAAAAGAAAGCGAATCTCCTAAGTATACTTGGAAGTCTAGATCGATAGCCTAAAAAACATATGGTTTTAGTAGCTTCACTGTGCAGAGATGGAACATAAAAAGGTGAGACTACAATGAATGTACAGAGAAGTTCGAAAGAATACAGAACCAGCTTAGTACAAATTCCAAATATTTGAAAAAAATTGACGAAATAAGATGACTGTAACAACCTTAGATTAACAGATAAATAACAAAGAACTGAAAAAATACGCTCGGAAAGGCTTTTTACTCACCAATGGACTAGCACGGCACCATCATAAACCCTTGCCCCATGAATGAAAAAGGATGCGTCCCTAAAATATTTGGCAATATTTTCCTTCGAGTCGTCATCAGCTCGAAGCAGCAATTGCTTTCTGGTGGGACACTAACTACTGTTAAGTTATGAGCATACTAGATTACCTTGAAATTGTAGTGGAGAACGCTACAGACATGAGTAATGCCATTTTCTTCCAGTTGACTTTTGGATTGAGCGCTAGCAACTCCGCCAATGTATAAACCAGGAACTATTCTCGACATCGATCCACCCATTTTCTGTTTTCTTGTCACAGAATACACATCAAAGCTCCAGAAATGAATCAGTTATAGTCGGATTTGTTATGCACCCATCGACAACTCAATTGAATGTAACTCAAACACTTGAACTAACCACATTCAATATAAAATATTTTATGAACCAAAAATGACGACTCGTGTTATCACAGTAATAATGGTAGAACTGGCATGAATAATGGTCGCGGTTACGAAATGTTTCGAGACAAGCATCTGGTATTGTTATTCCAGGTGAAAGATTGTGTGCCACGTGAAAATACATGTTTCCGTGCCTTATATTAGTACTGTGAACCACGAAGCCGCAGTCATGTTGGTTGTAAAAAAACAGTTGACAGTGTCGACCGGTAAACTTCTGATTTAACGTAGGTCTCCCTTTATTAATGTGCAGTCCTTCTTGGGTTTGAAGATACCACAGGTATTCGGAGTTTGACAACGCTCAAACAGTAACACCTAATATGAATCGTACCCACCAAGTGAAATTAAAAGACAGAAGCGAGAAGGTTCGAAGATATATTTGATAGGCTATCAATATATCGGGGATTGTCTGATCTAATCTGACTAGCGATTGCAGGAGTTGTTGAGCATGGCGTTCCCACTCGTGATCTGGTGCGGTTGGATGACCGAGCGCCTTCAACTAAGTGAGTCCATTAAGACTAATGTGGTCAGCAACCGATGTCGGAAACATACGGAGCTATTTATTTTGATGATTTATTTACCGCTGCAGGTTGAACGGATAGAAATTTTTATTTGGGTGGCCAGAGGTTTTCAGCTTCTTTTATATCATTATTAGATAGCTTTGTATTCTACTTCAATCTACCAATCACAAAACTGGATGTAGAACTCTATTTTCATAGAGCTTGTCTCTGAATTGTCTGACCGAATGTGCAATAAGCTACTCACTTTTCACAAGAAAATCGTCCATGTTTTTTTCAGGAGAAACGGATACGTGTCCCTTGGATGCAGTTGCAGTTTTACGTTCACTTTTGTTCAGATGACGTATACTTTATTTTTACATTCCACCTGCTCATTAACGTCAAGGACAGCTCGTACGTTGAGCTATTTAGTAAGTTCCGCTTTTTGTTCGTGACATTCCTATTTTACACGTGCAATTTTTCAGTGACTCGTCTTATCCTGGATGTTCACTAACCTGATGTTCTTAGTGTTCTTTCTATCCAGGATTTCAACATTCTTCTAGTCGAATTTATGTTCACAGTTGTCCATATGCATTGATACACGTGACAGTATATGATGGCGTTTTACCGCTAATCGATGTTCGTGCAGGTCAAAGAGGAGATTCCAGTTACTTTGTCAGATAAAGTACTCCCTTTCACTGAATACGTATAATTTCATTGTTTTTGATGTATATGTTTTAGTCTACCTCCTAACTTGTTTGTTTTGATCCGTAACCTCAGATATTTTTGTTTCACTTTTTTTGGCCTCTCATTTAAATGTTTCTCTATGGAAACCTATAACTTCAAGGTCTGTTTTGTAGTTTTAATAATGTTTTATTAGAACGATAACTTTGGGTCGATTACTTGTAATTTGCGAATAAACTTTTGCACAATAATCTTAATTTTTTTCTTACTTAAGGACGTAAGTTATGAGTAAATCAATCGACTATGCTCCAATAACAGACGAGAGCAAGACTAAGACGTAACACTCTGCAAAAATGAGAAATGTTTAGAAGCTTGACACCCAGGTCAATGGAGGATGAACAAGCATATCGGAATGAATTCAGTATATCAATAAACTAGAAAAATCACTGAAATACACAGGAACAGGAATCTAGTCACAGGGATATACTACCAAAATAAATAAGCAGATAACGACGGGGTAAAGGCCGACAAAATCCAATAATATAAAGCTAGATAGAATGATCTGAGAGTCATATGTAGAGGAGTGCAAATATTTTACTACAACATGATGATGTTCTAAAGAACAGTGAAAGGCACATGAGCAAACTATTCATCTCAGGGAATGAAACTCCGCATAGATCATCCACATTAGCTGCAAATCGTCCCCATCATCCTAAGTAAGAATGGATGAGTTAAACTTGCTTTAAGGTTGAGCAATTACAGTGTAACTACTTTAAAATTCAATGATCACACAAGAGGTGACTTGTTGATTCACTTAAAACACAAATGGCTAAAGTTTAGGACTGCCGTTTAACTATGACAAAAACAAATCGAAGCACGGACGAACCTTGGATTTTTTCATAAAACGAAATACCCTTACTTCATTTTGCGATCGCTTAAAAAACTGTCACACCGATATATAAGAGCTGATTAAACCACATTCTGAGAGATAAATCAATAAGATTATTGAATTGTGTTACAATCGTACTCTTACGTTGACTTGCTGGGAGTCTGTTCTACAAGAATAAATTATGAATGACGGGTAAATTCAAACATATGTATTTGTGTTTCCCCTTAATCGATACAAAGTTTTCCTTGTTGCACAGGTTGTTGGATGATATGATATAGCCTAAACGTATGGATGTCAAAGAGTTAAAAATAAGACGGGAGATTACTACAAGGACTAATTTAATGTGTTTGATTCAAAGAGGTCCCAACGTTAGTTAATGACATTTAGTGATAATCCTTATGATGAGGATACATCAAAAGAGCTCTAGTGAATCGCTTTCGACAATCTTGAATGTACATGAGATCACTATACTTGGAATTACTGGAAACCAGAATAACATATTCAAGGAAAGAGATGAAACACTTTTGTATCATGGAAGTTATGAATATCGAAATTCTCTTTGGTCAACACTAAAGTACAGTGATTGAAGAGAAGAAAAGTGACAGTTATCGAAGAGCAACATTATAGGAAGATAAGAATCACAAAACTAAAACCATCAGAAAAGGAATGGTTTTATTCTCTGATCTATTCACACCTTGCAGGTTTAGTCTGTGGTCAGGTTCGAATACATTCTCAACACAGTTATATTGCACTAATGAGAGAAATTTTGATTAATAATTCTGAGAAGGGTTCTGTGTTAACAGTGGTTGGTATTAATACTTTCTCATAAATAATCAGAGGCTGACAGTTGCATTCGTAGAATTTGAAGTTCTGAGGCGACAGCGAAAAAATACTAGGGCTTCTCGATAAATCATCTGTCTTGCAGATTTGATAGCAGACCGCTGAACGTCAACTTATATACCAACATGCATTCAAAATCGCGGATGGTGTCACGCTTGAACACTGTTACTGCCAAACAGATATTTCAACATTATTTAGATATCTAACAGGTGATCACTCAATATTTGTTGTCAGGATTGATCAAGAAATAAGAAAAGGAAACTTGTTGAGATACTTTGAGCCAGAAATTCTACGTTGCACTAAAAATATAATATTGAATAAAGCTAGTGCTAATGATTATGCAAAACTATCGCAACTCAATTATTATTCACAAACAACTCACTGGCACATACATGTTGTGAAGAAACCATTTCGGATTTCTTTATGAATGTAATTACACAAAAGTTCCAATAATGTTTGCATCATATTCGCCAAATTTAAACAGGTTTTGCAGAAGTTGGAAGATTATTGATTCAAGTTTAAGGAAAATGCAAAGAAAAAACGTGAAGTATGTAATCAATTTAACAAGCATGTTTATGAAACAGAATAAATTACGTCAAACTGCAGGTGTTAGGACCGTAATGGCTACTAACTAACTAACTTACGATGCTTGAATAATAGGCTGGCTGTAACATATCCGTCTTGGAATGATGTAACTGACTACTCTATGTGATCTTGTGTTAAATTCACATCGTGGTTTATCCTGACTTGTTCAGGCGTGCCAGTCAGTGTGTGCTGCTTTATAGAGACCTGTGAAGGAAAAATACACTTGTGCTGGCAGAATGACATACTTATTACAACGAAATGTAAGGTGCCGTGTGTCACCACATCTTCGATTGTTAGCAAATCAGTTTTGATAATGTTGCCACATAAGCCTTTCTTCGCCTTCACTACTTTCCGTTCACCATTCAATATGTCCACGTAAAAGTACTGGGGCAATATACTCAGCTTGAGTTGTCATGTGGCCAGGCTTCGGCGCTATCACACTTCCCGTTCTAGTCTACGAACAATATTGTCGATCTACAGATCTACTACCTTTCCTACTAAGTGCATCATCCCCATAGTTCAAACAAATGAATTTCTTCAAGTCATCATCATAAGCGAAACACTTTCTTGTTGGGCCTGGGTTTCTCGATCGACTGCTCCACGTCTATTTGTGTTGGCTGTAGTACCTTTTGAACCAACAGCTTTAAAATATGAGATGCGTGTAATGTTTCCGAGATTACTATGGATTCGTAATTTGTGATGGTGATATATAAAGCCGGTGCCGTATGACCCATGTGTTTTCTCATTTCCCCTTTCCGTAGTCATTCCACTAGTACTTCTCACCCTTTAAATGCTTATTTTCACACACCTTATTAAGGGACACACATGATAATGGTGATCATTAACGGCTCATATTTCGTGATAAGAATAACCTGACATGGTTCTTTCTTAATTATCTTTAATAAGCTAAGGATACGTACCCCTTATTTGAGGCATTCTAAAAGTTCCAAAAGAATGTCGTTAAAGAGATAGAGTAAAAAACGTTGATCAACATACAGATACTAAACAACATCAGTAGAGTTCTAGTGGGTAACAAATATCTGGCTTCCTAAACTTCATCTGGCTCCTAGGTTAGCCTGAGAAAACAGGAAGAACTAGAGCACACTATTCGATTTAAAGGTGATAAAACTATGGTGAATGACTGTGGCGTTTATGCGCAATTCGCTCGCTGGGATAGGAGACTAAACATACCAATTTGATAGATGTCAGTTTTTCGCAGCACATAGGATTCTCAGTATCGTTATGGATTATTGTATTATTTGTATCTGCTGAACTGGGATAGTTAGTACGCTAGGCCCCCAAAAAAGTTAGATGTAATATCTGAAACAAACGCGGTCACAGTTGTGAAAGTACATCTAGCACAGCTAGACGGAATGCTAAGTGTGTTAATAAGCATAACTATTCTAGGAATTTAATGAAAACATTGGTGGGTATCATCATTTACATGGCAACGAATCCTAATGCCGAAAATTTATAGGTCTGACACTCGTGTTTATTAGCAGTGTAAAACAAGAAGAATAAATAATGGGTATATATAGGCAGAAACAACTTGAACCATAAGACAAGTATGCCAAAA